TGAACATATTAAATGAAAGTCTTAATGCGCTATGGACTTAACATTTTAACGTTTCTATGGAGCACTACGCATAAGAAATCACTCTCTAACAAAAATTTGCTAGAAGTTTTTCTCAATCCGAAATCTGGATAAGAAGCAAGTTAAGATGTTTGTTTAGGTCAAATGTCTAAACAGTTAGTCTTGAAGTTCTGTGAACATTTTCAATTTAGATATTTGAATTATTGACGCCAAAGTTTGCTTCCGTTTAGCTTCCGAGAAATGACTTTTTGTGATCTTATATTTTAAATGAAAATCGGAATGCGCAATGGACGCAAGGTTTAAGTGAACACAATGCTTAGGAATTATTAGGAGACAATATTAAAAAGGACTATCGAGCGTAAGCTTTAAGAATCTTTCAGAGCAACCATCTGAGGTTGATCAACTCGATCGAACTGCAAGTCTAGACAGCACCTGCTCAATTTCTGTCCAAAAGTTCTCGTTTACAGATTCTTTTCAGTCTGGAACGAATCACTTAAAACCAGCAACCTCCGTGCTAAAAAAAAGGTTTGCTAACCAGTTTGGTCTATGAATTCAACGGAATTGTTTCAACGTTTTATGCTTGAAAGGCTTGCCTCAAAAATCTTAAGGTTATCGCGAACGGATTCAGTCTATGAAATAACTTGTAATCGTATATCTTGGAACAATGCGCTATGAAAGTCTTAATGCGCTATGGATGTATTGTTTTAACTTTTCTATCGAGCACAACGTGTAAGAAATCAGTATCGAGTACAACGCATAACAAATCTCTCTCTAGTGAGAATTTTCTAGAAGTTTTTTCAATCCAGAATCTGGATAAATAGCAAGTTAAGATGTTTGCTTAGGTCAAATATCTAAACAAATAGTCTTGAAGTTCTGATAAACGTTTTCATTTTAGATATTTGAATTATCGACGCCAAAGTTTGCTTCCGTTTAGCTTCAGAAAAATGAATTTTTGTGGTCTTATTTTTTAAATGAAAGTCGGAATGCGCTATGGACTCAAGGTTTAACTGAACATATTAAATGAAAGTCTTAATGCGCTCTGGACTTAACATTTTAACTTTTCTATGGAGCACTACGCATAAGAAATCACCCTCTAACAAGAATTTGCTAGAAGTTTTTCTCAATCCGAAATCTGGAAAAGAAGCAAGTTAAGATGTTTGCTTAGGTCAAATGTCTAAACAGTTAGTCTTGAAGTTCTGTGAACTATTTCAATTTAGATATTTGAATTATTGACGCCAAAGTTTGCTTCCGTTTAGCTTCCGAGAAATGACTTTTTGTGATCTTAAATTTTAAATGAAAATCGGAATGCGCTATGGACGCAAGGTTTAAGTGAACACAATGCTTAGGAATTATTAGGAGACAATATTAAAAAGGACTATTGAGCGTAACCTTTAAGAATCTTTCAGAGCAACCATCTGAGGACGATCAATTCGATATCGAACTGCAAGTCTAGACAGCACATGCTCAAGTTCTGTCTAAAAGTTCTCGTTTACAGATTCTTTTCAGTCTGGAACGAATCACTTAAAACCAGCAACCTCCGTGCTAAAAAAAAAGGTTTGCTAACCAGTTCGGTCTATGAATTCAACGGAATTGTTTCAACGTTTTATGCTTGAAAGGCTTGCCTCAAAAATCTTAAGGTTATCGCGAACGGATTCAGTCTATGAAATAACTTGTAATCGTATATCTTGGAACAATGCGCTATGAAAGTCTTAATGCGCTATGGATGTATTGTTTTAACTTTTCTATCGAGCACAACGTGTAAGAAATCAGTATCGAGTACAACGCATAACAAATCTCTCTCTAGTGAGAATTTTCTAGAAGTTTTTTCAATCCAGAATCTGGATAAATAGCAAGTTAAGATGTTTGCTTAGGTCAAATATCTAAACAAATAGTCTTGAAGTTCTGATAAACGTTTTCATTTTAGATATTTGAATTATCGACGCCAAAGTTTGCTTCCGTTTAGCTTCAGAAAAATGAATTTTTGTGGTCTTATTTTTTAAATGAAAGTCGGAATGCGCTATGGACTCAAGGTTTAACTGAACATATTAAATGAAAGTCTTAATGCGCTATGGACTTAACATTTTAACTTTTCTATGGAGCACTACGCATAAGAAATCACTCTCTAACAAGAATTTGCTAGAAGTTTTTCTCAATCCGAAATCTGGAAAAGAAGCAAGTTAAGATGTTTGCTTAGGTCAAATGTCTAAACAGTTAGTCTTGAAGTTCTGTGAACTATTTCAATTTAGATATTTGAATTATTGACGCCAAAGTTTGCTTCCGTTTAGCTTCCGAGAAATGACTTTTTGTGATCTTAAATTTTAAATGAAAATCGGAATGCGCTATGGACGCAAGGTTTAAGTGAACACAATGCTTAGGAATTATTAGGAGACAATATTAAAAAGGACTATTGAGCGTAACCTTTAAGAATCTTTCAGAGCAACCATCTGAGGACGATCAATTCGATATCGAACTGCAAGTCTAGACAGCACATGCTCAATTTCTGTCTAAAAGTTCGCGTTTACAGATTCATTTCAGTCTGGAACGAATCACTTAAAAACAGCAACCTCCGTGCTAAGAAAAAGATTTGCGAACCAGTTCGATCTATGAATTAAACGGAATTGATTCAACGTTTTATGCTTGAAAGGCTTGCCTCAAAAAACTTGAGGTTAGCGCAAACCGATTCAGTCTATGAGATAACTTGTAATCGTATATCTTGGAACAATGCGCTATGAAAGTCTTAATGCGCTATGGATGTATTGTTTTAACTTTTCTATCGAGCACAACGTGTAAGAAATCAGTATCGAGTACAACGCATAACAAATCACTCTCTAGTGAGAATTTTCTAGAAGTTTTTTCAATCCAGAATCTGGATAAATAGCAAGTTAAGATGTTTGCCTAGGTCAAATATCTATACAGTTAGTCTTGAAGTTCTGATAAACTTTTTCATTTTAGATATTTGACTTATTGACGCCAAAGTTTGCTTCCGTTTAGCTTCTGAGAAGTGACTTTTTGTGATCTTATACATTAAATAAAGGTCGGAATGCGCAATGGACGCAATGTTTAACTGAACACAATGCTTAGCATTTATTAGGAGACAATTTTAAAAAAGACTCTCGAGCGTAACGTTGAAGAATCTTTCTATCGCGAGAATTTTCTAGAAGTTTTTTTCAATCCAAAATCTGTATAAATAGCAAGTTAAGATGTTTGCTTAGGTCAAATATCTATACAGTTAGTCTTGAAGTTCTGATAAACTTTTTCATTTTAGATATTTGACTTATTGACGCCAAAGTTTGCTTCCGTTTAGCTTCTGAGAAGTGACTTTTTGTGATCTTATACATTAAATAAAAGTCGGAATGCGCAATGGACGCAATGTTTAACTGAACACAATGCTTAGCAGTTATTAGGAGAAAATTTTAAAAAGGGTTATCGAGCGTAACGCTTAGGAATCATTCAGAGCTGAAACTTTTCTAATGTTTTATCGCTTGATTAGCCTCCATATAAAATCCTTAAATTGCAACATCTGACTTGCTTCATAAACATTGAGTTATTTCAAAGTTTCATAGCTTGAATAGTTTGCTTAAAAATACTTCAATTTTCCTGGAACCGATTCGTTCTATGAAACCTGAAGTTTTTTAAACCGATTTACGATAAGGCTTAACCTGAGTTTGTTCAAAATTTCTTTGCTCTGCTTCTTTGATCAGAACAATAACTATTTTTTTGCGAGCCAATTGATTATTGGATGCGGGCTTGCTAATCGTATGCAAATAAATTAAATTTTAAATCAATAAAGAGCATCAACAAATGTGAACAGAAAGGAAACATAAAAACATTTCTCTCCTTCAGCTCTAATTCCATAGACAACAGAAGTGAAAAGAAATGAAAAGTAAAAATAATTTTATCCTTAAGCTCTAATTTCATAGACGACAAAAGTGAAAAGAAAGGAAACATAAAAATGTTTCTCTCCTTAAGCTCTAATTTCATAGACGTGCTCAAACGTTGAGCTAAGTGAGGATATGTGAAGGGTTTTTTGCGATGCCCACGGGAAGCTTGTCTGGCTAAATTGACGTCTGAGTCAAAATTTTATTATGTGTCAAAGAACATAGTGAAAACACTTATATAGGCCCTGATGATTACTTTTGTTTCTTTTTTAGGAAAACAAAAATTGTTCACGCTCAAATTTGATTTCATTTCTTTTTGGTTTGATTATTGATTTCTTTCTGCTTACAATTGCGACCAGCTTGGTGTGTTATTACGAACCTTCTTTTTTAAACCTAACTCGCAAGTGTTCAATTATTTGGAAATTTCACTGTATAATTCACTGTAATTTTAATCTTTAGGTCGAAGCTTTTAATCTCAGAGGTAGACAAATTTTTGCAGAGGTAGACTTCGCCTCAGGGTTGAATTTTGATTTCTTTTCAAGTTCAGCTCATTTCTTGTGTTTAATTATTGGACAGCAAAATGTCACGAAAAACGTGAAATATTTCTAGTTTCGAATGTGGATTTAGCTTTTAGATTTACCAGCAGAATAAAAAATTACCTATTGATCCTGTTTTCTCAAATTGGGTTTTCATCAAAAAAGTCGCAAACATAAATTGTTCTTGAAATTCGAAGAGCTTTAAGGGCATATTTTTTCTGTGACGTTCAAAAATTGATTTTTTTAAAGTCACTAGTTGCTTGTTTTCCTGCGTTAATTGACCCTTTTCCAACTGTGTTTTTTTTTCAAATATTAAAGATGTAATTTTTGGATCTAGAACTGGATAAAGCGAGCCAAACTTAAATTCTCGTTAACCTGGTTGCTGCAACACGCTGCACTTGTTAACAGCAGTTTGAAAAATATATTTAGCTTTAATTGATTGCATAAAAAAGTCAACCACAATTTTTTGATTCTCTAAGCTCGCTCAGATTACGGCTCTAAAACGGAAACAGACGAAAAAAATGTGTTTAAATTGTTTTTGAAGATGAGCAGAGGAGTTTATATTTAGGTGGCTACTGGTACTTGGCCTGGCTCCTAGTCAGTCTGGCCGACCTGGCTGTGTACAAGTTCCACATCCCAGAGAGTCTTATCCCTCCCAAATCCAGATCCTCCTGGCTGTGGGACATCTTCCACAGCCACACCATACACCATGTACTAGCACTAGGCTCACATCTCTGTCATCTGGAGGCACTGGAAACTGGTGAGTGGTTGCTATACTTACTAGAATATTCGTTAACCAACACCAAAATCAAATATAGAAACATGCATGCTTCGTAGGTCAAATTGGTTCCAAGTTTCGATTAGACTATATTAGGAGCCGCATTTTCCTTTGAGAATGCAAAAAACACGCTTGCTATCTAATGTTTGTTTTGTTGTTCATTTTTGGGAGACAACTGTAGTCTTACAATTAAGGCACTCTTGTGGAACCAGATCTAAACTGAATTATATTATTGGTCATTATTATGATATTTTATCTCTATAAAATATTGAATACTAACCAATCATACTCCATCAACTAACAACCCACTTATTTCTAAGTGCTGAAACTACTTGTAGTTTCAGCACCAGAGCAATTTGAATTAAACTTAGAGTATAGTTGCCTTCTCCAGAGAGACCGACTCGCATAAACCAGTATACACAAGATCTATTGAGACTAGGAGATGTAAGAGTAAGATTAAGATTGGTATTAGACTAAGAAGTTGCACGAATCTATCCGGCCGAAAATAAGATAGCGTGGCGAGCAGACGGTGTACCTTATCTGAAATTACTCTATGAGTATTACCAAAAGGTCTTAACTCATCTGGTGCGGCCAAAAGTCTCGAACAAGACCTTAACCATCTTAGATTAGATTAGAAATAGATAAATATAACATTACAAAAATGTTATATGACAATAATTTAGTAGAAATGTCTCTACGACTCAATAGATCACCGCCAATTTTCCGAACGATACGAGAAATACCTGGTATTGGAAGAAGACCTCGGACAAGGCACGACATACGATTAGGAAGATACCTACCAATCGATTTCGTGATCGTACGACACAAGCCAGATCAGATTTTTATATTTAGAATACTTCCAGCAGTAAATTTAAATTTTCATTTACTGACATAAAAATCTTGAAGAAAAATCTTCAATAACCCTCGTGTCGCTAAACCTAATAAATGTACAATAACGACTGATAAAATTTCGCTAGTCGTTCTCCTCCAAAATCTGCAGTAATTTGAAAACATCTTGAATTTAAAAATACAAAAATAAGTTAGTATAAAACAAAATTGTTAGTTTTGTTAGTTGATATAAATCATCCTTTCATCCCAGCTTCATCACCTAAAACTAAACAGCAAACTTCAAATATTAACATCATCAAAACTAAAACCTTAACCCTTTCTTAATTTAAACCTTTACTTAAAAATTATCAAGGCCTATCCTTGTTTTCACTTAAATTCATCTCATTAAAAGTTACCAGATCATCAAGGCTTCCCTTGCATCTTTAAAATAAATTAAATTAAATCTAAATTTCTGATCATCAAGGCTCATCCTTGGATCAAATAGAACAATTTTGCTCTCCCCTCCCAAATTTAATTAGTGTCTAACGACCTTAAACGTCGATTCACTACCCAACCCTTATTGACGACCCAGGATTAATAGAATTTTTTCAAAAGAACTACCCATTCTAATTAGGATAAACAATGAAGAACTTCGGGTTCTCATCCTTCACTTGATTCCTTCCTTCTTAAATGACCCAGGCTAAAATTTAGTGAGACATAAAATAGTATCTAACGAACTACTTCCGTTCTAATTATACCTGAACCTTGTGGATTGATTTACTATTCTCAAACCCTTGATCACAAATCACAACCCCTAAACAAGATTAGGTAAGTCTATCTTAACTTAGAATTATTCACGAGAAAGTAAAAATCATTCTCACGAATCGATATCTGCTTTTCTCTCCAACCCGACAATTTATGCCCCAAGTTAAGCTAACCACAAAAAATCGGAAGAACTAACAGTTTAAGAAATTTGAAATCACTAATCCCAATTTGGATCCGTCATTATAAAACCTTATGTCAAGAGACAATTTAGGAAACAAACAAACAATTGGATTACACAACTGTATAATTAATGACGAAAGATACGACCTCGTAATCACACGACATAGGCAAACAGTAGGACATATAAGAACAAAAAGACAAACACTAAGAAAGAAAATTATAAACAAACAAAAACAAATAATTATAAAACGATTTTCAAAACGAAGAAACGCAGTCTCAGAATCAGAAACCAGCGATATACGAAAACTCCACATTTTAAAAGACTCAATAAATAAAAATCATCAAATTGACGATCAAATATATTTTTCTGACTCAGAAACCACGTCACCAGCATCAATAAAAGGAAAACTGAGAAAAAATAAGTCCTACACAAACAAACCAATACGTCTGTATAATTGGTATCGACCAATAAGACACATTGAAAATCACACATTTACAGTTTTAAAACACAGAAATGATTCGAAATGACGAAAACCTCGATTAAAACTCCATACTCCCATTTTTTGATAAACCCACTAGCTGATACTCGAGGACAAGTACAATTATGCCAGAGTTTAATCGTAAATTTATTTGGAAAAGGAGATAGCCCATGCACAAAAGATTTTCCAGATGTGAAAATCAAACGGCAAATCCTTGACCACTATCTCAAGGATATATGCAAAATCACATCATTTTACGGAATATTCACAATCGAAATAACTTCACCAAACCCATAAAGCATCAAGTACAAACAGACGATATAGATGAAGAATTCTCAAAAGTTTTTACAGAGTACATAAAGAATATACAACACCAAAACTCACAAAGAGCAAATTCGATGTTCACAAACGATGTATTCTCAATTATTTATAGCTATCTATCTATACTAGAATTGAAAAAAAACACAAGGCGATTCACCAATTCAATTCGACACACAACTGTAAGACAGGAAATAAATATCAAAATTTTCAAATACAATACGTGAAACTTTCACCAATAATGATGTATCACAAAACGTTAAACAAGACCTACAAAAAATCTTAGCATAGTTCATAATTGACTATTTTTCCCACATCATTGACCTCATATCACTAGCAAGAAAAAGTTTGCGGCAAGGTCATTTCAGCAGCACTTCGCGATACACAAGCCTACGACTCATACTTAAACAAATTCAATCATTTTTCATTAATCTTTCATTTCCTAACACCAAAAAAAAACGTGATTTGCACTGTTCACACGACTTCATGTTACGCACTGAACAAACACATACTTACACTTACTATAAAATTGTCCAAAACCACAATACGACTAACACACTATCACAAAACTAACATCACTGTTTTCAATTTAACTCCAAATACACTTCACCATTCTTTCTAAACTTCACATTTTGCATCTAAGATACTAACATGCAAGGAATCATCTGAACTACGATCCCAACAGACAAATGTATATATTCTGCCCACTAACCAAAACCTTCAGCGTTGATGAATCCCGCCCACTAATTGTCCCACACGAATATATACATCCCGTCAAAATCCCGATCCTAGAATAAATCCTTAACATTAAGTATAATCACCAACTTTATAAACTCATTCAAAACACATCGTATAAATTCTCACCCAGCACTGAAGAGCACAAGATCATTAACGCACTCGAATTGCTTTGGCCACATTTTCAAACTAAATACATCACTCGCTTATTAGCTAAACCTCTAACATCATCAGATATCATCCACGACATTTTTCATCATGGGTGTTTTGCTGATGATTAGGTAGGTATGAATCAAAAAATTTATACTAATGAATTAGAACAAAAACTAGCCATTCTTTGTAAAGGTTTCACTTTTTTTTATTCTTCATCGAACAAATCATCTAAAAAAAGAAAAAACAAATAAAAAATTGAAAACTTCTTTTAGAAATTTGTAATTCATATTGACAGATTGCAAATATATTTTTAAAAAAGCAGTAAAAATTACCCCCAAACAGCAGTAATTTGATAAAAATCCCTCAATGCAGTAAAATAATTTTTAACAAGCAGTAAATTTATAAATTCAACCCCCCAAAAGCCGTAAAATTGATTTTTCAATGTAGTAAATTGTTAAAAAATTGTATATAAATTCAAAGTAGTACTAGCCTTTTAAAAGACGCTTCTTTATGATTTAAAATCATTCACTCGCCCACAACTCTTTCCACATATCTCAAAGGCATATGTAGTATTACATCACAACATGGAATATACACCATAGAAATCAGTTGACCAAACTCATTTCATGGCAGAGATCTTATTCAAACTAATGACTCAAGGCGATTCACAAACTCAAAAATCTCGACATACAACCGTACGCCAGGAAATACATTTAATTTCAAAATTTTTAAATGCAATCAGTGAAAATCCAACTAGAAACGAAATAACACAGTATGTTCAACACGATATACAAAATCCTAGCATGATCGATTATTTTGTTCATAATATTGATCTTATAGCACTAGCAAGAAAAACAAAACGCAGATGATGAAAATAAATTAGCAAAACAAACAGAATATGCTTGGGACCCCGAATCTCATGAATCATTTTTTAATATACCAACAGATATATCAAGTCAAGCAATTAGCACAATATCTACTCACAAAGATTATGTTAAAGTATACCCACTTACAGTTGACGCAACACCTTTAAACTATAATTCATTCTTTTCTGATAGAGCAGGAAACAATAGTTTAAACTCCACTTTCATTAATCAAGACAACCTAAACAAAACAAGAAATCTTACACAAGAAGATATACGAACTCCATCACATTTCGTGAGTGAAGAAATAGTTGACCCTTTAACAACAACAGCACAACATAGCAATACACCTATTCATCCCAACCTTACAACTCCAAAAACAAAAAACCCAACACTGTCACAAACAACCATACAATCTACAGTAAAATACTCTGTTGCTCAAAAATACTCACAAATAGATTACCAAACAATTCGACTAAGAACAAAACCATCATATAAACAAAGAACATCACATAGAAATAATTTCGCAGAACATAACTATAACTATGTAAATAGATCAAAAACACCAAAATCTTTTAATATGAATTTTCAGACCTATTCAATTTCACAAAGTCAAAACATACCACAATCAACTTCAAACTCCGTAAATTTTAACAATCAA